ATGCTGGTGTACGGTGTAATGAAAATATATTTTGATCATATCTTGATTTCATTGTAAGATATAGTGAAAGACCAACAGCATATCCTGCTGTTGGTAATTCATTGAATCCGTAGGCATTTTGTATCAAAGACTCTCAATGTTCTTTTGGTCGACACATGGTTCCCAATGTCAGCGATATATTTCACAAAAGCCGTTGTGGATTGGCCTGCACACGGATCGAGCTGCTTGTACTTGCACGTGATTGGCTCAGCAAGTGGCACCGTCAACAGAAGAAGCTGCCAACTTCGCCGTAAGAACAGTGCTTTGTTACCGGCGCATCCGTGAGGTATAATGACCGTACTTGCGGCGGCTTGATCGCCATGACCTTGGCTGTTCGTACCCCTCCCCATGGAAAGCGCCGCCGGGGGGCGCTCGACTCCAAAATGCGGACTCCGAGCCTCTGTTTTGACCGGGATGGCTGCCTGGAAAACAAGTCGACAATTGCTCTTTGTGAACCCTCTTATTACTCCGATCGATGGTGGCATTCGACCTTGAAGGCTTCGCCTCTGGCAAGCCAGGCATCCGGCAACGAGGGAAAAACTGCCGGCGCTCTAGGCTTTTGTTCTCATTAGAGGATAGACGTCCTTTGTCCTTCATAAAACACGCCACCTGTCCGAAATTGGGCTAAACACAGGCAGAATGGCTATCGCAAGGTTTCATGCTGATTTTCAGGTTGTCAGTGTAAGTTCGAGGACGACAAGCTGTCCCACCACTGTACTTCCTATCACCAATCTTCACCTCGTCGCACGAGCGCATAAATTGCCGCTAGTTGCGTCATCGTCGTGACGTCACGAGAGCACAGCTGACCGTGAACTTTCTCCGGTGGATCCTGCGGCGGGAAGACGCCGCGCAGCCGCGAGAAACTTCGAAACGGAAAGTGAGTGAACAATCGAAGCCGCGCGGGAGCCGGAAACGCCTCTTCGATCTCCGAGCAAACAATGGGTGATCGCTCCGTATGTTACATGCGGCGGACGCGGCTGAGATGAAGACTGCCTGCACCCTGGTGCGGTCAGTCTTCGTTACAGCGATCACAATCTAGGTAACAGACGATCAGCCCTGATACGATTTGGGCGGTTATGTACTGTAAGTGTAAGCTGCCCACCGCGTCAATATGTTTATAGCCTCTCGCTTACACGACAGCAGCTTGACGGCAAATAAACAGGCGATTGGTGTAGGAGTTTTACTTGACGCTATCTAAGCATCCTTTTCTTTTCCATTGAGTGAAACTGGCCAGGACAGCTTTCAGTGAAATTTTATGTTGATTGACCCTCACATGTGGTCCAATTCAGTGTGGTTTGTCCGCATGCCCAGGCTTACAATGGCCGAGAGCACTACGTAATTATGCATACAAACACCCAGCTAGTGTACACGAAGCCAGCAATCCACTCTCAGCAAACTGCAGCAAAAGCGCTGGCCTTCACATGCAATAATCACATTTAGTAGTCGGACGAATTGCCGGGCATATTAGGATTCCTTGTATGCACTCCACAAAAGAGTTTTCTGACATTGCCGGGGCTACCGGCCGTCGCCAGTGCCAGGAAGCCCGTGCATGTTTGTACCGCTTATGCCATATCCTGAGCAGGCGCCGGTGCGGAACAGATAGCCTCGTACCCACAAGATAGTGCGTTTGAAACCCGCCGGCGGCCGAGATCCCCCGTCACCGCTGTCATTATACGTCCCAACCCGCCGAGCTCTGCACTCGACTTCGCCGCTGCAACCGTGAGCTCAACGCGCACAGCATGCTACCTGCCAGGTCCCCTCCAGCACCGGCTAAATAAACAGCGATGCTAATGGCCATCGAAAGCGCCTAGATCGCTGAGGGCTTTCGAAAGCCCTGCACCGGGGCGGCGGCGCGGCCGCGGAGCTGTGCAGGTCACTGGCGGCTGTTGCCCCGCGTGGGCCGCCGAGCCGGCTCCCGCCCGGTAACCTGCCCTGGGGAGGCCGCGGCATGCGTCGGCTCATCAGTCGCTGCTGAGTCAGCAGTCGGCCTCGGCCGCCTCTGGGGCCGGGTCTGTACGGCGCTCGGTCTCCGAACGGTGACCCCCGCGATCGGGTCTGCACAGGCCGCCGACGACCAGTGAGATCGAGATCTGCGCCGTCGTCCGTTGTCTTCTGACTCGTCCAGTGGGGCCGAGTCCGCTCAGGGCTCTGCTTTTGACAGCGCGTGTAAGGGCTGGGTCTGAAGAGACGCCTCGTCTGACCAGTGCAGTGAGGGCTGAGTCTGAAGAGACGTCTCACCTGACCAGTGCAGTGGGGGCGGGTCTGACGTGAGGCCGGCCGCTCAAGCGGAGCCGGTTCTGTGCATTGTGCAGTGCTGCTGTCGGCCGCGCCCGCCACGGAGCCGCCACCTGCGCACGGCTCATCGGGTAGATCGGCTTGCTTTTGGCCCAGCTCTGCTTGCCTATGACCCAGCCCTGCTCGCTTATGGCCCAGCCCTGCTCGCCTATGCCCAGCCTTGCTCGCCTTTGGCTCTGCCCTGCCTGCCTTTGGCCTAGCCCTGCTCGCCGGTAGGACAGGGCAGTGCGCTGTAGTGTCAAAGATATTATTTCGGCACGCCCCCCCCCCCTCATCCGACCCCCTGGCGGCCTTCCGGCTCTTTTCGGGCATCGGCGTCGAGTTCTCCATTCGCTCGGAGGGCGCTCAAAGGCTCGGAGCTCACAGTGCATACGTTTGCCTGCATTCTCTTCAGCTTCGGACGCATGCTTTTGAACGCGAGGTTGCGGTACAGGGCGTCAGAAGCGCGCTTGCCGTGCGCTTCCACGGAGGACGAGGGGCAGTCGCTCTGTTGTGGGCCCGCAGAGGGCTTTCAGCCACGTTCTGATACCGCCGAGCAGCTCCGGTGTGCCCGGTAGGGGCCTAGTCTAGTCTCCCTGTGACGAGCTCTGCCACCGCCTGGTCCGGAAAATTGCCAAAAATCCGCTGTCTGTGGACTGCGTAACACCAGGTGCACTTACCTTGATACGCTCCCTCTTTTAAGACCGTAAGTCATGTGCATGTTAACTAAGATGTTCCTGACAAGCTCATCGTACCATTACCGTATTTTTTATTTCATATCCAGAGACAGCATTAACACTACCATTGCATTACAGCAAAAGCAGCGCTGTCCTTTTGCCGTGAGTCAGTTAAAAATATTGTTTTGCCGGCATTGCTGCCGTTTTCCTATTCAGGATGGAAAATGCCTCCGACCTTTCGTCACAGCATTATCGTGACGTCATCGCAGGCTGCCCGATACTGACGGCCTAGGAAAATACCGGCGATCTCCAAAGCGTCTTCAGTGCAGCCGGCGCAGGCCCGCCCGAACCCGCTGAATCACCCGAACGGTGACGAAACACCCTTGCTTGCCGCGCCATCCAGTCCTCAAATAGAAGGCCAACTTGGCGAACAGAGTCTCGGCGCGGCCTGACTGGCCTGACGCGCTGAGAGCCGCCCACCGACCACCGCTGGCGCGTGACGCAAGCCCAGAGTTGGGTCCCAGACAGCGCTGCGACGTTATTGCGCCCGGCTCGGCGCACACGAGACACTGTAGGTCCCCGTGCGGCCAATTACCACTTATAGCTCGCGAAAGTGACGTCACATATTTGTCAGGTCTGGCATGCTAAGTGACGTATGTGGTATTTAGACTCCTTATGCAAGATACAAGATCATCTTCAAAGCAAAGGATCTGTAGCGACTGTATCGGTAATGGTACAGAATCTGTCGAAGTAATGCTCTTGTGCAGAGTGACCTTCGCAACAGAGTTTACCTCGCGACCGTGTTCACAGAACTTCCCCAGGCGCCGTCGGCATTGCGGAGATTTAATATTTGATTCTCTATGTTACGTTCATGAAATAATCCGTTTATTTCTGGATAACAATTGCTGGTGGATAACATCTAAGACTTGGGACAATTAGCAAATGCTCGACGTTTCGTTTGCTTTCTCACTGAAAGTGCACTGCTGTAGAATACCAAGTTATAAAATGTGTTTATTGACTTACTATTTGCAAGTGATCAGCACAGCTTTTTTATTCCTAAAATTAATTAAAGATGAATATTCATGCCGTCAAGTAGGCTCCGCTGAATTTATATCAACCCAACGTAATTGTAGTATTTTTTATGCTGATCGTTCAACCATCTTTATGATGGTGTTTCTTCCATCCGGGCTTTATTGTCGATGTGTGCTAACCATTTTAGATGGATGAGCGCCATGGTCATCTTATGCGTTTCCGCATCTCTTCAATATGTTCAATGCATGCGCAGTGGGTATCCTTCAGGAACTACATATTACAACTACCAAGATGGTTGATGAAATCATTCAGCGGATCTCAGCAGTTATCCGTGATAGAGCCGTCACTGCGCAGACTTGCTGTGCCACAGGCTACATGTAAAGGTATGCTCTGCCGCAGCAATTCTGTTCGAGTCCGATCCTCCCGTTCCGCCAACAACGCAAGCCGCATCAATAAGTATAACTATTCTTGAGGAAAAACAACGAGTCAGCGCGGCGCGTCAGCCAGCCCTGAATAATGAGGAGTCACAAAACCGAGCCGGCACAGCGTCAACAAGCTTGCACTGCAGTCTCGGTATTGCCACCAAACAAAGGGCGGGTGTACAGAGCCGCCATCCGACCCGAAAAGAACGGCCCAGACGCCGCTGTGTATGTGTGTATGTATGTACACACAGTCTGTTGGCAGTTACGCTGCTGGACGAAATGCGCACTGCTCGTTTTGGATTGGCACTGTGGCGCCACTCGATCATCCATGACCCTACCACGTAGCGTGAGTTTGGTGGCTGAGTATGCACGAGCTTTATGTGCTGTATTCTTGACAAGCGGTGTAATAAACATCGTTAATTATGTGGTCTTATTTAACCATGTTTTCAAATTTCTCCCGGCTTCTTACTGATTTCAGCCGTTTTTGTTTTTACGGGACATGTTTGATATCTGTACCAGCTTTCAGGAGTATTGTACGGTCGGAACACATGTTGACATTTGGACCCTTCATGTTTATTTCGGATTTTTCTTCCGCCAATGGTCGACAAACATCGCATGAGGTAAACGTTTACCGGAATGCATCCTGGAACAGCGATATTCGAATACACATCGTGGACTCAAGCCTCCCTTCCACCGGCGCAGGTTTTTTTTTCGTTAGTAGGACATCCAGCTGTCATGTTGGGCCGTTTGAGATCCACCCTTTGTGGTTGATTTCTCTCCGCCGCCCCTGATAATGCATTCCGCTCCTGCCTGTCATTTCCGCCACGTTACTGTAGGCCATGCTGCGTCATGAAACGTAAAGCCAATTTCCATGACGCCACTTTAAGTCGCTTCGAGTTTGGATTAAGGCATACACACAACTTCACTTCACTTCACGCCGAATGATGTCACGTTCCGTGATGCCTTTCTGCGTGATCTCACATAATTTTCAATCACTTCACATCACTGCGCGTCGCCTCACGTCGCGGCCCTCTTCAATAAGTCACTTTACACATCAACACGTCACTTCACGTCCCATACGTCACTTAAGTTGTCTCCCTCCTCTTCACTTCCCATCACATAACGTCATACCAACTGACTTCACGTCACATCACATCCTGCATCGCCACATCACATCACGAGAACTTCTCCATTCGGATGAGCTCGCGAACGCCGTCGGCGACCTGTCGGACCGAGTCGAACTCGCTCAGGCCCAGCGTCTCGTGGTTGCGCACGTCCACGACGCCGCCCTGAACCTCGTGCTGTTCGCCTTCAGTTCCGCGGATGCGCAGGCGCAGCTTGTTCGCCAGCTCCTGCAGCTTGGTGGTCTCGTTGGTGAGCCGCGGCAGGCGTAGGCGCACCGAGGCGCGCACTGTGGTTCCCAGCTCGGTGGGGCTGAACGTGATGAACCCGAAGCGGGAGCTGTGCGAGAATGTCACCTTGTCCTCTAGCTGCGTCAGGCCGTCCACGAGGCGCTCGTAGGCAGCGCCCAAGTCGCCGCCCTGCTCCACCGAGAGCACGCGCACGTGGTCCGCCTCGTTGACCCAGATGACGAAGGTGCGGTCGGCGTTGGAGAACACTCCGCGGCCCATCGGCCAGTCTCGGCAGCCGTTGGCCGCCTGCATAAACCGGTCACCCTCTTTGAACAGCAGATTATCCTGCGTGAGTCGCCGACGCACCTCGTCCGGCATTATGGTCAGCGGATAGTAGTCGCCGGCCACGTCGCCTTGCAGGCGGCCGAGCGTCGTGAACATCCTGCTCTCGATGCCGCTGTACTGGTCTCGGGTGAGCAGCGCGTTCAGGGGGTAGCCCTGGATGGAACGGGCGCAGCGAATGCGAATAGAGAGCACAAATCTTCCCTCGGTGTCGAGGTTGCCGATCTCGCTGGGGTCGCCGTAGTTGCATGGTGGGTGTCGGTCGATCAACGTGAAACCGCCGTGGTACTCTGAAATGATCCGGTCCAGTAGCGGAGCGAATACTGTGTATGATTCGGCGTCCGGTGCGTAGACACCAACTTCGGAGTCCAAGTTTCTCACGCCGGATTGTATAACATCGAGGAGGGTAGCTCCGTACAGACTGGTCTTTTTCTTGACGAGATCAAATATATCCGGTGTGAGATGCTTCTTCAATAACGAATTACAATTTTCGTCTTTTTGTAACGTGTCAAAGGCTGCGTCGATTTGGTCCCGAATTTCTTTGTCGATGAGTTCGTCATCATCATCGTCGTCGTCATCATCCCTTTTCCGCAGTACTTGCAAATTTTTGCATGGCACATTTCCCATCACTTGAAAACAAAAATTACATGCCGGTAGCGCTTAGAGTGCTGGTCCTGAGTTGCAATGCAGTGGACGAATTTTGCTGAAAAACGTACAATTTAACAACTTACTGACGTTTTTTAAAGACAAAAGCTAAGCAACGCCACGCAGATTTTGAAGGCCGAACTGGTTTATGGGAATTCCATTTTTAAGCAATTCCATTTTTTACTATAGCAAAAAGAGCTATGCTATATTTGGGTTAGATCCTCTCATTGCGCATAATCAAAGCGCTTCCGTCCTTGCTGAAGTGAGGTACACACAATAAAAGATGATATGAGATACGAAATATACGAAATATGAGATATATGAGATAAGATAAATTAAATACAACTAAGACACCGTATTATAGCATAAAGCGATATGATCAAGGGCAAAACGATCAGAAAAAAATAACGTGGCGTCAACCATACGCAATCACCTTTGCGCACGACATGTAAGTAATTACGCATATGTACGTGCGTACTTTCGTACGCAATTCCTCTCCGGCATGGGGCGTCCCACATCTAGGATTTGTTGCCGGCAGTGAATAATGCGTTCTAATATAGTAATGCGTGATATTGACTATGACATGTAGCGCGTGTAACAAATAACCGATCTGTTGAGATGCACTATCATACTGCTTTATGGACAGAACAGAGGCATATTGCGTACCTTGACATGCCGTATGTATTTCTATTACACAGATAGAAATATCATCAGGCCCGCATCCATCCCCATCAATACCTTGCCGAAGATCCGGCGTAGCATATGGGTTTTCTCCAGATGACCGGAGGGTGGGAATCCGACAAATATCATCCCCTTCCTCCCCATCCTGGCAGCCCGGCATAGCGGCGCCTTTCGTTCTTCGCACATACCCCCTCCCCCCTGTGTCGCACGCGGGGCCGAACTGATGGCCGTCACGCGGCCATTCACGGACAGTGACATTCCGTCCCCACCAGGCGGGTCTCCTCGTCCTGCTCTGTTGGCTGGTTCTTGAGCTGACACGTGCCCTTGAACGAATGCCTTGCATCACGCGGCACGCTTAAAAGGACTAACGAAGTTTAACAAAAACGAATGCTAGTCACAAAAACTAGACCCATCGTTGCGCAAGTTTTTGAAGCATGCGCGCGCTGTAATCGGACCAAAGAACGCTGTTCGAAAACACGCACGCGCGTGCGACGCAAGTCGCGAAAAATGGGAATAATGTCCATTAACGAACCAAGTGCGTGACTTTTCCATGTCTTATCGCAGTCGAGAGGGGGGGGGGGGGGAGGGGCAATGACGGACCAGATGAACTCAGTCCGTGCTCCGATGGCAATCTTGATCCTAATGTCACTGTAAGCATTTCCATTTTTATGTCGCAATGCGAAACGAATTTCATGCATATCAGTGATTTGTGCGCTGCCTGTAGCAAAATTCATTGCTGAGTTTAATATTATAACGATTTGTTACTCATTGGTTCAAGCATCTGACCGAATCCCCTGCGCCGATTTGGGCGTCGTGTCCCACAACTCATGTCTCTGCACTATTGCCGGCATGCCCGAGTATGATTCTGACAGCATCAGTACCAATGTCGTTTTGTGTGACGCTTTGCGGATGGCTAAGAGTTCAGCCGTCAAAATCGTAATCAAAATCACAACAGAAATCGTTAAAATCACCACTGAGGAAGTTGGCAGGATGGTTATTTAACATCTGTTGCATAGCTTGCAGATAAATTATTAATTGAATCCTTTGTCAGAGTTTTATCGGCAGGTTTTTCGATATTTTACGAGGCCTTTAATAAAATCGCTGTTGAAATCATGGGTGGCAGCTTGCATAACTTTCAGGGGAAGAGGATGATGTCACAATGCCGGTATGAGCCCACCCAGTGCTCTTTAAAGTCCCACAATACATATGACCAAAACAGTGAATATTGGGCCAATTAAGTGCAACCATTGTCGGAACCGCTGTTGCACTAGGTACTTAAACACATCTCACTATCATCATACACTATCATGGTTATTATAACGTCAGTTTCAAAAAAGCTACTCCGTAGCATTTAAAACAATTTTGGAACCGACTGAATATTTCTTAAGTTTTGATTTTGACATCAGGATCGTAAATCAAAGTTACTGAGATCCGCAGAGAAATCAGGTTTGCTAGTATGTAGATTGTTTTTATTCTCTCGGCCCGCCCGCCCCAACCAATTTTAGAAAGTGGCACCCAGGGCTGAAATGGTTAACAGTAAAGTGAAGGATGCGTTGTAAATGTCGTAGCTAATGTGCGTTTTTTCAGGGCGACTGTGCCGCGCCGCCAGCCGGAACTGTCCTTATCTCCAGACTTTTGGAGATAAGCTGCCAACTCTGCGCCTCCAGAACTCCAGCCAGAATGTCACCAGACAGGTGAGAATCGAATTACCCATTCCGATGACCTATTGTCACGATCAACTCGTAAATGCAAACGTCAAGAAGACTGATTCAAGTGGAAATGAAAATATCGATCGTCGTCGACATTGACATTCCCGTAACTTGACAAAAAAATATTTTTCACCCCTTACCAGATGTCAGGTAAGAGCCTCAGTTTAGCGACAAAAGAGGATGTGCCAAATTGATCCTATGATTGCGGTGATTGCGTGGATTACGGTGATGGCGGTGATTGCGTAAGAATCCTTTAAACGGGGCAGGTGTGACACGTGCTTGGATGGCGGCATCGCTTTTTGCGCTGGTCATGAATTATTGAATGCGACTTTCAGTGACGCTAGTTTTTAGTCGTAGTTTTTTATAGTTTTTTAGATTTTACGCTAGCTAAAAACTAGCTTTTTCCAATTCACTATCCATTATAGGCCGCGCAGCACAGCCAGGCGACAAGGTAATGCTACGGATATCTTTGTCTCGTCCATCCCTCAAAAACCCTGTCGCCCTGGTCAAATACCAAGCATCTGTCGATGGGGCAATTCAAAAGCCATAACGGCTGGAGATACATTTACAATTTCTGCTTGACCACAACGTTGATTTCGCAAACAGTGGGTGTTCAATGCGCTGAAGCAGCATTACGTTACGCTTCGGCCCACTTGGGTTCGATGTCAACTCAGTCAACATACAACGACCTTCAGTGGGCGTCACTTGTGTTGAAGCACTCATGACAGGCTTTTCTCCAGGAGGCGTGGCAGACGATCTCTTGGTAAACACTGTAACCTTTGCGTGAGTTTACATAGCGTCCAACCCAACACCAAGGCGTGCGTGTCGCAACTGGTCGCAGCAAATAGTACAAAGCGGCCCAGAATGGCCCCAGACCGAAGACAAGCATGTCACCACGCCTTCCATATGCGATCCCACCTCTCGATGTCACTCCCACCGTCCTGTTGCAATGGCAAAGCAAGCGGCCGAAACCCGAGGGCATATTTCGTAAACGCCGGTGTTCTCTGGCCGCTTTGCTCAACGCCGTGGATATCAGTGAGGCCGTTAACGTCTGTCTGAGAGCGGTGATAGTCGGAGACTGCTTGTTCCGGCAGTGGCTGTGTTCCCGACGGGAAAAGAATTTGCTATACACCTGCGAGATGCACCCTTTGCTTTGCCTTCTCCTGACCTTGAGACAAGCTTTTACTTTGAATTAAAGCGCAGTATCCACAAGGAGAGTCCCATCTTCGGATCAATTTTGGCGCCAACTTGGTCTGGTGAACAAGCTCGGACGGTCATCTGGGCTGAATTACCAGTCCTACACATCCGCTCTAATCACATGTTTCACACTATATTGGCCATCACAATTATCATAACGGGTATGATGATAAGTTGTGTGCCGGCTATCCCCTAAAGGAATGCACTGTTTTCCGCACATGATATTCTAGAATGAAGCACATAATTCATTTTGAAATCGAGGCTAAGCTTTGAAAGAATCGACCGTCACGGTGATAAACGAGTGGCGACAATGTCACATGGGACATTCGATTCTTTTGGGATTGTGTTTACCTCTGCGCTGGTAAGACGAGGGCCATATATCCTACAGGGAAGGCGCTGATTAGCACGCCTCAGTCTACTTTAGCTCACGGAAACAGAACATGTCATTACCCTCCGCCTTTGAGCCATGCGCTACACAAAGAAAGCAATCATCTCAGGCTGCATACACCCAACAGATCTTGTCGGTGGTTGGCATTCACCACAGATTTGCATATGCCGTCTAAGGCTTCCGGTTCAACGCCCGGGTCGGTTCCGAGAATGTTGCCCGTTCAAGCTCAAGCCGGCGACAGACTGAGAAAGTTTCGAGGTCGGGTCGGATGCACTCATGACATTTCCATTATCACATCGCCGAACAGATTGTCAGGATTTTCGAAGCACTGTAGTTGGCTGATCTTTTCCGAAAATCATACTTGAAGTTTCGGAGAGATTCGAGCATGACCTTTCGTTGTTACAAAGCGTAAATGGGTTGTTCTGAACCCGTTACGTCCATGTGTCCGAGAGCATCGAGGACTGGTGAGTGTGAAATAAATGAACACCAAAAATAACTGGAAAGTTCAAATGTACCATCATGCATTTCATTTAGCCTCCTTTCCGTAGATTGTCAGGCATGTCACATGCATTTCATGGTAGTGCAAAGGACATAGTTCAACGAAATGTTGGCAACGTAGAGACATGTTCGTTGGTACATCCGCATTTCAACGAGCAGCTAACGCACGTATTCATGCCAGTGGACTTTCGGACAAAACTGTTCTGCTGCATCTACACAGAGTTATGTCCCGCGTGGATGTACAATAATTAAAGCGATATTTTGTACGCAGTGAAAACACAGCCTAAGAGTATATCGTCGTGTCCCATCGAAATGCACTTTTAATTATGTAAGCTCATCCCAGAACTTACGAATTATTCCCGAAATGCCACGAGAGGTCACACGAAGGCCACCGAAAAAGTTTCTAGATTAAAAAAGCTACGGCTAAATTCGTAGCAAGATCCTGGATCCCAATATTCCCGTCGCCGATTTTTTAGTGGATTCAAGATGCCAAGGAAAATCGGAATCCAGGAGCACATCAAAACGTTTGAAGAACTTTTTGCCGCGTCTAGGACATTTCGATCTGGCATTAAGGTAGCAAGCTGTCCTTTTCGTGGCAGTTTGCGAAATCCTGACATTATGGGGTTATCTGATACGAAATCAGTACACTTAAACAGAAATTTTTTGGCCATCTCAAAGAGAGATTTCATCGGTCCTGACGTCAAGGCAGGGTTAGCTAAATTTTGTTTTTTATGTCAAATTAGATTTCAAGAAGCCATGTTTATATGACAAACAAAAAATAATATTGGATTTTTGGTTTCGTGGTAATTAGATCTGGGCAACTGCATGCAGTTTCGGGATGCAAACGCGTTTGGAAGGATACAGTTCAACCTATCTTCACTTCGAATGCAATTCAACTTTTAAAAAGTGTCTCGTCAAATGTTCGCTGAAATTTGTTGCCAAAAAGTTAAAAATTATTGCTAGATTCTTAAGTACAATTTGACCAAAAAATAACATAGATGGTTAATCTTTGACAGCCGATATGAACCATAGATCACAAATGATTATTGACGAGATCTTTAAAAAATTGTGAGCGAGAAAATATTGGGTCCAGAACTTATTACCCAGAACTGGAAGCTCTTTTCCGGAATCCACGTACATCTCCGCCCTTCCCTTCAGAAACTATCTCCACTTTTTCCGTCTGTTTTTTGGTGCGGGCTTCCGCGACCTTCAGTATGTGCCTGTTCGCACCTCTTGCGAACGTGCTCTGGCTGGTCGTCACAGGCTAATGAGCAAGGCGAAGCGGTGAGGCCGTCAGTGCCTCTACAGGCTGAGCCTAGCGAGCAGACACCCGGCCAGCGAATTCCGTCGGCATTAACGGCCTCGGCGGCCGCTGAGGCGCGTCAACACGCTCACCCTGCCCAGCCGACGGCGGAGCTCGGGCGGAGGCCTGACCTTGGCAGTGACGGCGGCTGGGTCGACGGCCGACCCTCGCAGGGCCGCGTCTGACCTTGACAGGAGTGATGTCCGCGCCGGCGGGGAGCGAGCGTTTTGACGGTTCGCAGCGGCAGCCCCGCCGGAGCGGCGCCGCGGTCCCCGGCATGCCCCCCGTGAGGTCCGGCACCGGGCATGATGAGAGACAAGCGTGGCGAGTGGTGGGAAAGATTGCAGGGGTGTGCGATACGGACATGAGGTCATAGATCGGGGTGCAGGTTAACTGCAGTGTGAGAACAGCGTGGCCTTGCATGTTTGAAAGTGTTTTATAATGAGCTGAACGTTCATCTTCGGAATCATGTCACATTTAAGCAACTATATAAACGCCGAAATCATTATCATTCTAATAATATTTTAATATTCGGTAAAAATCGCATTCAGCGAGCGCTTGGATGATAATCAGCATGTCGAAATTAGAAACATATTAACACCGGGACAAACCTATACACGCATGTATTCCCCCAAATCTATTAGGTACCAGTTCCGTGACTAGGCATCAGTTCACATTGCTAAAGAGCTGCAAGTGGGCCTACTGAAAAAGCCCGACAGCATTACGGGGATACATAAGAGAACTACAAAGTTGTACTCAATACTGCGCCTTTGGGCTGCAGTCGAAGTATAGAACCGGTAGCGCATGCACTTGTGAATAGTGTGGGAAGCTTTGATTCCCTAACCCGAAACGCTACGACATGAGAACTGCGACGCAGTGCTCTGGTTCTTCTATAATCTATGCACTGGGCTCCCAGCGTCAGCCCTGAAGACAGGAGATGTTGCATAAGTTGTGCAGCAAAATCACTGCAAGAAGTGTAAATGGAAAATGTCATAAAGTTGCGAGGATAACCCGCAACTGTTATTCACCTCCCTTACAGCGTTTTGGGCTGGACACGTGCTTAATGTTGTCTGAGTTACTTACACTCCTGCCAAAATGATTGATGTCCCTTTCTCACATTCAGCAATGGTCTGTCTCTATGACCTGGTGTGATTTCAATCTAGGTACACTATTGCAAACCTGTGTGTATTATTCACGACCGCAATGGATTCACCCGTGCATGAGTGTGGTAAATAACGTAAAGATGCTGAGTGTCATAAATTATATATTACAGTTGACTTATCAAAGTATTAGAATGTTGAAAACGAATCGAACGCTTCAAACACGCCTCGAACGCATTGTACGCGTCGGACACTTTGAAAAATCGAACGTACACCAGTCGGTCTTCCCTGCCACCATAGGTAACCACATCCACACTTGCATTTCATAATTCCTTTCTCTGTGAGTGTGTAATCCTTTAAGCATGGTGCGCCATGACAAAAACGCTAGTCGGTTCACAAGACGGCTACGACACGATCCATATCCAGTTAGGCCATCGGGTCATACAATACATTCAGCCAAGCGTGCAATGGTCACTTAAACTCTCCACAAAATTTATTG